TGTCTCAGAGCTCACTTTGGTTGGGTTCCCTCACTGCTTGGATAACCACAGAACTTAATAGGTTCTTCTCTCACACCACAAAATCACGTCTTTCCGACTTTAGTCAAGGTCACTCAATATTCCAGAGTTGAGAACCCCTTGTCCTCAAATTTCCGGCGAGGCTCCTTGAAGACGGGCGAACAATAAAAGTTGTCCCGGGCCGCTCTCCCCTCCACACCAGATGGTCTTCCAGGAAGCTTTACCCTCTGTGGCCTCGAGCGCCGGACTCCCCATAAACTGGGGACCACCAGAACTGCTCCAGACTGAACCCAGTCGGTCGGTTAACCCAGGAAAAGCGCTGGGTTCCGCGGGGTTCCAGACCCTCTGTGGGGAGCAGCGCAGGGGACCTTCCCTCCCGGAACCAGCCCGTTTCCTGACCCAACAGCGGGTAGGGCACACCCCACGCAGAAGGTGGGCCTGTCACGCCCGGCGACCGCGCAGCCCTCCGGTGGGATCTCCCGGAGCCGCGCTCCGTCCTCGCCAGGAGGGACGGGGTGCGTGAGGACAGACCCCACCATCCCTCACCAGATGTAGCAGCCCCGCTGTGCCTCCAGCAGGAAAGGCACCCGGCCTGGCTCCCGGCCAAAGGGCAGCAACACCTGCGGCACGTTAAGTTTGTTGGCGAGGGTCCCAAACAAGGCCAGTGACAGGCACAGGAGGCGACCGAGAGGCACGCGGCAAATGAGCACCGTGGCTCCGAGGTTTATCATGGCGACCGCCAGCCCTCAGGTTCCCGCACCGCCAGAGCGGCGCGTCCGCAGCCACAGCAGCCAATCGGGAGGCTCCACGCCAACAGGAGGCGGGACCTCTGGCCGGCTGGGAATTGTGGGAATTCAACACTTCGACCTTCCCCAACTTTTGCTGAAGTTTCAGGAACTTAAAGGGCTACCTTCCTAGATTTGGACTTCGCAGTGTTGGGAGTGTAGCTCAAGAGTGCTGGCCTCGCGTGCTTACCTGCTTAAGGCCGGGGTGGGGGGTGTTGATACCCAGAAAACCACCCTGCCCCCTGCAACAAAAAAAAAAGTATGGCAGGTTTTTTCCAATAGTAAGGAACAAGCAGAAATGTATAACAAACATTTCTCCAAGCTTAACTTCTCATTCCGTTGTCCATTGTTTGGCTCCTAGATTGAAAAAAAAAAAAAATTTTTTTTTTTTTGCAATAATTTCCAGTCAGTACTGTTCTATGCCTGTAAACGGAAAAATTTCCAGTCTATAAACAGCTGGACTTTGTCAAGGGAGCTCTGTAATTTTAACTAGGAAGTCAGATACACATCACACTTCAAGGCCAGAACGCAGGAAATGCCAGTCTCAAAGGCAGCTTTGAAAGCCATCCACTCATACAGCCTGTCTCTAAGCAAATACTTTGGGAGCACTTGTTAAATTAATGTGTTTTCTCCAAATATCCAGTAAGGTATTAACTGAAAGACTCGCCTAGGAACAGTATACTAAAACCACACACTTTATTTCCAATCTTCACTTTGCTCTGACAATACATGTTATCCCCATTTTACAAGACAACCCTAAATGATTTATATCAGGAAATATAATTAGGAATTTTGAGAGCTATGTTTTGAAACCAGTCTTTGTCTATGTTAAATCCTGTTGCTACCACCCAATGAGATCTGATTTTTAGCTCAAACCTCACAGCTCCTGTGGAAAAAAAGCACATTTGGTTTAATAAATAAAACACAAGTAGATCTGAAGTTTGGAGGGACTGGTTCTTTATTTCAAAAAGACACTTGTCAATATTCAGTATCAAAACAGTTGCACTATTGTTTGTCTTTCTCCCAACTGGCCCCAAAGAGACCACAACAAAGGAGAATACATTTTAAGCCAATAAGCTGCAGGATGTACACCTAACAGACCTCACGAAACCTCACCTAAAAAAGTGGGGATTGGGCTGGGAAAGAAACTTTGAAAGATCAGCACACTGCCAGCCCAGACTGCAGGACTCTCACAGCCAGACGAGGTGGCCAGGTACCC